ACAGCTGGGTGACACAATGAAATCAAGGTAAGTATTTGTGGAGGGGGCATTAAACAGTAGTAGAAGGTTGTTGGTTGTTGCTGCTGTTCTGGGGCAGGCAAAATTGCATGGAAAGTTGAAAGTCAAAAGTAGCCAACTGCAGCATTAACAACTGCTCCATCAGCAGCGCCAGTAGTACCAGCTCAACCGCTACCAACAGAACTTGCGCCAATCGGTTGACCGTGTCAACATGCAAATGAATATTGCAAAGTCGTAACGCTGCCTGTCGCACAGAGATACCTTTATGCTGCACGCAAGAGATACCTTTATGCTGCACGCAAGAGATCAAGTGTGCACTGCCTGCCTCAACTCCGGCTGTGGAAGTGTATGCGCGTGTGTGTGTTTGTGTTTGTGCGCCTGCGATAGCACTTGTCACTTTGGCTTTGATTGTTGTGTGCGCCATCGCTATGGCAGCCCGCATAAATAAATATTTAAGCCTTTACATTTTAATGCATTGCTCTTCACGGCTGGCTTCATCTTCTGCTTCTGCACATTTTCTTTTGATGTGGTGCAGTGACAATTTTTTACGCACATGCTCATACCTACTTACACAGTATACCAGTAGAAAAGGTTTTTGTTGTAGCTGTTAATTTGGTCCCCATAAAGGACTTGAGGGTTGCGAGCAACTATTTTGCCGCATTCAGGGTGCTGTGCAGCAAAATAATGTGGTGAAAAATTTTAACATCGGATAAATGGCGAGAGAAATATTGTTATGCACTTTATAAGTAAGCATGAACGTAATAAAATGTTTCATACTTCAATACAACTAATTAGCGCTATTTTTGCAATTCGAAATGATCTTAAAAATATTTGTAGTGAAATATGTACTTTATGAGTTAAATGGAAACTATCTTATATGTAAAAATATATTACGATTTACTTCAAATAAATGATGTAAAATGTTTTATATATGGATCTAATTTTAATAATAAAATTTATTACTTTCATCTACATTGTTTTTATTGTAAGTTTTCACGAGTAGTTGCAGTTTTCTGCAATTGTCTCTGGCCGACTATACATGTTAAAGCCAAATAATTTCACAATTTGTACCCTATTAAAGGTTTATATTTTAATAAAATGTGATCAATTATTTAAGAATATATGATCAATACTGAACGCACTTGGAGTGAATTTTCGAACACGGAGCGAAATATGCATATTAAGACTAAATAATTTCTAACTTTCTACCATATTATACGTTTATATTTCAATGTAATATGACTAATTACTGAAGAATATATAAACTCCGAACAAATTCACTACTAAATGCTTGACAAACAATATTTGAATCAAAAGATCAATAGTGAACGCGCTCGGAGCGATTTTGGAACACGATATAAATGTTAAGACTAAAAAATTTCTTATAAGCTTATGTTTTAATATAATATAATTAATACTGAAGAATATATTAACTCCGATCAAAGTATAGTATTAATTGTATGACAAACTATTTAAAGCAAATGATCAACAATGAACGCGCTCGGATCAAATTTTGGAACACTTCATAGAATATTTACAGAGGAAGTATATTATTTGGTAGAGATCAAAATGTATTTAACAAAGTGTGATTGAATTTGATATTGCTCTCAGAAGAACCATCCTATAGTCAAATGGAAAAAAAAATGTTATGCATTTTGAATCGTTTGTTTATATTTTTTACATAATATTAAGAGAGCCGCACTGAGTTGTCAATAACACCTTGTTTAATACACCCATGATACAAATATTTAAAGGTAAAAGCGCTTGCTCAATTCGTCGGCCATCATTTATTTTTTGAAGTTTGTCTAGTTTATAAAATTGAAATTTTGAGGGCAACTCAAATGCCAAATAAAAGTAAAACAAAAAAGAAATAGATGAAAATATTGAAGTTTTCATTTATTTCCCCGCAAACATATTCTGAGCGTTCAGAATATATGAGTCCGAAGGGAGTCCTAGGTAGGTAAGAAATATGAGTTTCAAAAACAAATTTTTTTTTACTCTTATATGAATCTTTTAGGACTCATATATGATCCAAGTTATGAGCCAGCACCTTGTGCCAAATAAAAACAATAAAGATTTGAAATTTATATCCAAACTTGTTTATACAGAAATTGAAAATAATTAGAAAACAATAAATGAACAAAATTTAGCTGCAGCTGCTTTTATTGCATGCATGGTGGAATGTGTATATGCACGTAAGTATGTATGCATGTTATTTGAAAGAATTTTTTTGCTGAATGCTTTTGCAAATATAGTGCGTTCAACAAGACTCAAAGAACAACCTAAAATAAGAGTCCGAATTTAGTAATTTATGAGGCTGATTAGAGGCTCGAAAAGAGTCTGAAATGATTCATATATGAGGCCAATAATTGTTTTAAAATAGTCCAAAATGAGCCGTATATTAGGCCAATAAGAGTCCAATATGACTCATATTGAGGCTGGGACCCAGCAAACATTTGGAGTCATAAATGAGTCTTTAAGGAGTCCTATTTCGGAGCCATTACGCTCATAATGAGCTCATTTAAGAGTCCGATATGAGTGTGTTT